CCCCCCCCCCCCCACCTTGGTCGCCTCTCAACCCGAACCCCCATGTCCTCAACAGACAATCTCAGGCGAGAAGAAGAGGGGGGCTCCCGTGGACGCGTCCCCTACCGTGGGAGACCTCGACGGGGACGGGAAGCTTGAGGTGATCGTGGGGACAGCTCGTGGAGGGCTCCATGTCGTGGATGCTAGCAGCGGGTGAGGGGCCAGCCTTGTCTTGACGGGACCAGCGTTTCGCGTCGTGTACAGTACCGTAGGTTTCGTACGTTAGATACCACCCCCCTGGATCCCCCCCTCGGTGTTTGCCATCGGGATTGGGGTTTCGTCGCTTGGCAACGACGTTGTAAAACAAGCCAATTCACTTCGTGAACTCGGCAACCAGGTTACCGTTTTTTTTTTTTACCTCCGTTTTTTTTTTTGGCGGTAACCATAATGGTGGTCGAGTAGATCATGTTGTGCGGGGTGGAGAACCCTCACTCCGCGCAAGGGGGATGATCGCACCACGTTGTGTTAAAATGGTCAAGCACCCTCGAGGCAGTTACACAGTGCTTACAACTGTCTCTGGAAGTGAAAGCACCAGAAAATAAATTAAGTCATACGCAGCTGTCATCCGTACGCAAGGAAGTAAGCACAAGATGCCGAACACCCTTAGCAGGATGCAGCGCACCCTTCATGCGACTCGCCGAATATCTCACGGCACTTCGCGCTTGGTGATGTGAGAGCCTGGTCCGGTGAGAACCCGGCGTGCTCCGTCCCGGCTTTGTAGGGATGCGAGGTCAATGGTCTAACGACTGCGGCATGCACGACTATGAGTACACCCCCCCCCTGGATCGATTTTCACAGCTCGTCTACTGTAGTCCACAGTAGACGGACGTGGCGGTGCCGAAAACTGTGGTGTTGGAGTCTTAAAACAAGCTTGTTGAGAGCGCGCGTTCCCATACCGTATCCTTCTACTTTTTTCATCATCTTCGTCGTGGAGAAATCGCGCTTTGAAAATCGATCCATGGTATGTGGTAGTATCTACGCAACCTACGTTCTGCGGGAACACGGCCGATATCTGGGCTACTTACTTAACTTTCTGGGTTAGTCTGAAGCAATCGGTCACGTGAGCCTAAGGGTTTTAGAAGGCCTATTTTCGGTATGTAGTAGCTTCAGTGGCGATATGGCAATGGTCTCTACAAGGCAAGGCGTTCTGTGAACAGACACCCTTATTTTCGTTGATGAAGTGAAGAATCACCGCCGTCAACAGTGGGTGCGGTGATCTTCATCGCACGCTTGCCCCTGCAGCACTTCGACCAACAGGAGTCTGATGCCTCCTCACCCATAAAACTCCTGCGCTTATTTTTCTACGCTTTGGATACGTGTCTTGTCGCATGATACTGCCGCCGATGCAGCTTGGCGCGAGAGGGATTCCCGTTGACCTACGAACCAATCAGAGGACAGGTGAGCACCCCAGAGTCCCGCTTGATAGGAAGTTGGCAACACCCCTAACTCTCAAGGGCTGGACAGTATGCCCAGGTTCGCGCATGGCAGGAATAGTATTGCCGCTTTTGACACGCCTCCGTCGCTTTCCGGACCATTTCGGGAGATGAAATCCCGTCACAACAGCAGTGAAGAGGGTACCTCTCTGCAAGGCCTTCGGTCCGAACATTCCCTTTCCTCTAACTCTTCCTAGCCCTTGTGCAGATGGTTCTTGAAACCGTATTCCACATTTTCACTAGCAAGACAGCGGGTGGCAGCTGGGTGGCCGGCCCAGACGGAGCACGGGTAGGACTCAGCCGTCACCATGCTGCCAAACAGTATCGGAAACATATACAGGGCTAGCCACTCTTTGTCTTGTTGATCTCTCTTCCACCGAGCTCTGCAGCCGTAGTCACCTGGTCAATACGCGTTCTGGAAAGCAGCAATATATATTTAGCTCTCATAAGAAACGGAAGGTACAAGGGGCTGTCTCCCTCTCCTTCACGGCAGCAGCAGTTCTGAGACGCCAGTATTATACCTGGTAGGGGCTCAGGTACGTTAGGACCCTTGTGTTCTGGTTATGCCCCCGGTCGATCGGCGGGTTTCATTGCCCCAAGGAGGTCCACGCTGCTGGTTTGCACGTTTTTGTGGGAAACCCTTGTTTGCTCCCCCAGGGACGGGGGGGGACGTGTATGCCTGAACACCGGCCTTTTCCACCTATTCCGACATTTTTCTGCACTGTGCGAAGGCCCTTCTGAGGCATCGTGTGGAACACGGCATCCACCCTTGCCCTTTGGACGATCATTGATCTACGGTTCCTTCGTTTTGACTGACGAGTATATGAAGAGCGGCATGCCAGAACACACGGACGCAGAACCTAGTAACCCTGAGCAAAAGTGTGCGATGAAATGCTTGACACTTTGTTTACGCAACGACCGTCGTAGACTGCTGTGTAACAACACTCGAGCCGTAACAGAGTGGGATCGTTCACGTCCGTGTTTGCGATGGTTGATGTTGCGTTGTCGTGTTGGTGCAGGTGGTGGTTGCCGACGTTCATGGGGATGAGCGGCTGGAGATGTTGCTCGCGGATTCCTCCGGAGCCGTGGTGTGCGTCAAGCACGACGGCAAGGAGTGCTGGAATACGGTGCTTTCGGGTGCGTCGTCTCGACAGGAATAATCGAACAACGATTTTTCGTTTTGTTTTGTTGTTTCTGTCGGAAGCGGTTGAGTCGAGCAGGTCACGCCGTACCAAGAAGGGGAGGTCCGGCGGCTGGGGTATCGGGTATCATTATTGCGCGCTCGTCGTGCACATGCCTGATGAGCGATGCGTAAGACTGCGATATTTTCATGAAGGCATGCAGGCGTGTTACTTACTGCGCTCTTCCTTTCCTTAGCGCTCCCAGATACTTCATTTTTTGCCGCGCGTCAGTTGCCCCGCTCTCCGGGACACTCAAACTTGTCCTTATAGCGGGAAAGTGTCCTCAACATACCCCGCCTATTTTTTTTTTCATTTGGCGGGGCGCCCCGCCATGCTTCTGACAAAACGGTGTCCTCGAAGCGGAGGTTTCTGTACCCTCATCATCGGAAGCTGAAGAAGCCCCGTGATACCACCGCGCCCACCGCCCTACGCGGCAGGTTCAACAACCTCGATGCTGACGCTGGGCGACGTGGACGGCGACGGTGCCCTGGATGTTGTAGCTGGCGTTACGACTGCCGAGGGCTCTGCGGAAGTGTGGGCGCTCAGCGCCGAGAGCGGGCTGCCTCTGCCCAACTATCCGGTTGCGCTCCGCAACCGGTGGGTGGGTGGGGGGGTGGGGGGGTGGGTCGTTTCGA